CCCTTCAACTTCCTTGGCAACGTGACTTAGATACCCGGGTGGGCGTGACCACAGGGGCAAGGCTTCGAAATGGACCGGTGTTTCCCAAATTTGTGCTGCAATAGATATTAGACGGGAGCACCGTTTACAAGGTAAACGTTCCTATTGTCTTCAAGGTGTGCTTAATGTTGATTTCATGATCATACGTAAGACCTGATAACCACTTTTTCGCCTCTGCCTAATGTATACCTTTGCAAAAAGCATAAATTCCAATCTAAGTTAATTCTTCCTCTCGGAACTTCTTAGTTCAAGCAGTAGAAACACACACAGCTGTTTAATAAGAAGGAAATTATCGTCTCCAAGTACACGCACCCAACTTCCTTAATTAGGACACTTCAATAAGAGCTGTTTTTTGCGAGATTGCAGCTTTTGTGCGTACCTACTACATATTCTCGTCATTCCGGGCAGTTGATTAGGGCGGTCGTCAATGGGCCGCAGCGCGTGCCAGGAACTATTTGCTTTTTCCAGGCTAATTTAGTCATTTTTTCCACCTTGTGAAGATAAGGAGCTGCTAATCTGGGAAAAAGTAGCCAAAACAGTGAAAAGTTGGAAAAAATGACTAAATTAGTCCAAGAAAAAGCAATAGTTCTGGCAGCGCGCTGCCGGCCCGTTTGAGCGACCGCGCCTAGATCAACTGCCCGCAATGTCGAGTATAATCCGCTATGTCCGTGTGTGTGTCTGTCCGTCTGTCTGTTTGTCACGAAATTCATAGCGCCGGTCCCAATAGTGATGAGACATTGATTTCAAGAAGTGATGTAGGCGGTGTGACGGGAACACTATTGGTGGGTGACAGGAAGTGATATCAGTTGATAAGATACGATAAGGGGCCTTAGAAGGGGAGTGGTGACCGAGAGTCGTAGCGGCGAGTTGGCAGCTGCTACGGGACCGTGATCAAGAAAGGAGATGCACGGCAGGACGGGAACATATTTTGGTGGGTGACAGAAGCTGATAACACCTGATAAGATTCGATAAGGGGCCTTAGAAGGGAAGGTGACCGAATTCGTAGCGCGAGTTGCAGCAGCTGCGGGGAATCCTTGTTCAAATGCGGTGATATGCGCGCAATGGGGGGGGGGGGGGAGGCGGGGGGGGGGGGGCTGACAGGAGCTGATAACATCTGATAAGATCCGATAAGGGACCCTAGACGCGGGTGTCACCAAATTCTTAGCGCAGGTTGCAGCGAACCGTGGGACCTTGATTTCAAGATGTGGTATAGGGTAAGGGAAGTGGACATGATTGGTGTGTGACAGAAGCTGATAACATCTGATAAGATTCGATAAGGGGCCTTAGACGCGGAGGGTCACCCAATTCCTAACATCGGCTGCAGTGAATTGAGACCGTGGTTCCGAGATGGTATACAGGAGGGACGGGGTGGGTGACAAAATCTAATAACATATGATAAGATTTGATAAGGGACCTTAGATGCGGAGGGCCACCAAATTCGTAGGGCAGGTTGCAGGGTCTGTGGGACCTTGGCTCCAAGAAGTGGTATAGGGGAGGGGCGGACACCCACTGACTGATAAGAAATGAAAACCTCATCATGCGGAAATCCGCAACACCGCTTACATCCACTATGCGATTGATATGATCCAGGTATCAGGCTCCCAGTAGTTCGCACACAACTCACTCCTGGGCTTTATCGTTATTGACATCATGTACGGCCGCTAAAGCAACTGGAGTTCAGATGCATGACGGTTGTTTACTCAGTTGCCATGAACAGCAGCAACTGGCTTTATCACTATGATGACTATCTTTCATCAACAATCTGAGAGAGGACCATTCGAAGCGTTAAACTGCCCGAATGCGGGAGTGCATTCCAGAAAAAGAAACCTGCAGTAGTGGAGAACGCATCAAGCGGTAGGATGCTTCAAAGGCTGCTCTAACAGGTTGCTGATGCAATTGATGCTGTTGTTAGATACTCGAAG